TCGGCGTTCAGAGCGAAGAATGAGCCATAGGGTGTGGTTCACTAGGACAGAAAGCGACTTTTTCGCGTTTCGCGCGCGAAACATTTTTCGCTGCAGGAACTCCAGGTCCACTCATGATCAGCGGTGGACCTGAGGTTCCTGCAGCGAAAATGTTTCGCGCTGCGAAACGCGAAAAAGTCGCTTTCTGTCCTAGTGAACCACACCCATGATCCATCGGAAGTTATACAAAACGCATGCATCAGAAGTCTGTACAAGTAAAGAGTAAAGAGAAGAGCACAAGTAAAGAGAAGAATAGTGTTAGGTCGAACTCGAATGTAACATTTACAATGAGTAGAAGCATTGAGTTGGCTACAAATACTGGAGAGCAAAGTTGAGACTACTACACTAGAAAGTGCCTAAAAGCCGAATAGGAAAAGTAGTTGCTCATAGAGAGATCACAATCGTATGAAAAAACAAAAAAAAATGTTGGCTTGACAACAACACTTCCGTGGATTTGAAGGAACTGTTCATGCATTATTAATTTGCTTGGATTGCTACACCTAAGGTACTTTGGGATGGTATTGCTCAGACCTGTCCCACCATATTTATAGATAAATCTGAATTGATATTAAAAGCGACTAAAACCTCACAAGTGGCAAATGTTATAAGCAGAAGGTAAGGATTCGAACCTGTGAGTGACTGAAATCAAACTCTGGAACAGGGAAGTCAGTCATCTAGAATGGAAAGCAGGAAGACGAAGACGTTCTTCACTATACTGCCACTCCGTTGAAATAATCATAAAAGCTCTCACGAAGTACCTTCTGCAGCGATTCGTTCCATAAAATATTATTCGAAGAGGATCAAAGAATTTTATATTAACTGTTTTACTTATCACTTATCAGCCACCAAATTCTAATTCCACCCATAATTGCAATAAATTAAGAAGAAGGGAAATAAATAAAACCTCAGAAGAGGATGAAAATACTAAAGTTTAGCAGTACATCATAAGTAACCACTCGCGCGAATGAGGGGTAGATGAATCCACGTCTGAGGTAGGCCCGTAAATATGGGATTTGACAAGAAAGTGTCTTGGAGCAAAAGAAGAAAATAAGACTAAACACGTTATTGAAAAACCTGTACGGAACGAACGACGTTCAATACTTGGACAATAAATAAACAACTGAAAGGCCAGTACTACCAGAAACGTAACACATAAAAAGGATGATTTCAACATGAATTCGACGGCACTGATATAGTGTCCTCAACGAAAGATGTAATAAGTAATCACAAGAAACTAAAATCCAACAGATATGATATGGAACAAGGTTAAGTCCATCTACTTACTATATTTTCGATACTTGCGGAGTCTCTTATAGAGGCAGCCGTAGTGTTGGCGTGCTTTGCGGTTGCGCCTTCGAAGCGCAGCGCGCAAGGTAGGTAGCTCAGTGTTTGTTGGAATGCGACGAGTCGGGAGATCACGATACATATTAACACCGAGTCGAAACAACTGAAAATTTTGATGATACATGACAAAGACAATGGTGAAACAAAATGCGTATACTACAAAAAAACCATTCCTTATTCTGAAACCGTCTCCGACCTTTGGTATTTCTTTGCATAGTAGTGTTCTATGGCCTGTGCAGCAGCGCCCGAAATTTTCTCTTTCACCAAAGTAGGACAACATTATACATGAATATCCTATCTTTGCGCAACTACGCATTTTTTATGATAGAATAATGAGTGGCTGCCGTAAACGCCTGCATGCGACACCTCGGGACGACCGCCTCCATTTATTTAGTTTTGCACTTATTTACCTTCTAAATATATTTGGAAGCACCTTACACATACGCTAAGTAGTGAACCCGGAAAAATCACTTGAAAGGCTCATGAAGGCTAGCAGCTCTGCGGTTTCACAGAACACTGTTGTCACGAGGCACTACAATCATTTGCTAACAAGATAATATGGTAACCTACACACGAATTTCAAGACACCATTTCCGAAGATAATTACTTTTTTTCCCTCTCCGAGTCGACCAACTAATCAAACAGCCGACTGCGCACCATGTGATGCCGCACCACGTGATGCATGGCGGCCATTGCTATTCTATATAAGGAGGGAATACCCATATTTTCGCATGCTTTAATGCTGCAAGAATAACAAGCGCACGTTATACTGCAGCAAATGAAAAAGACCTGAATTATTAAGTCCTATTGAAGAACACTTCTGCTTCAGCTTGAACATTTTTGCTCGATTGTAAGAAAGAAACACCGCCTATGCGATGAATCAAAGCACTTGGACTGAAATGACGGCGGTGCTCTTTCAGCAAGAGGGCAACCACTAGTGTACGCTAACCTTTTTTTTTTAAATCTCTCTCCCTATAACCCTAACCACGATTTTGATCAAGAGTCCTCAAATACGAAGTGTTAGCGGATTCATTCCCATTTCCTTACTGAATATGGATTACGATCCTTGGAATGGCAGGAGTATTGAAAGAAGGAAATCTTGAAAACACTATTTGAGGACACCATCTGACTTAACATAATTTTCACCCTCTCCTACACGGGCGACGGCCTACTGGCTCGCCCAGGCTCGCAAGCGGCAAATTGCGCGGCGATCGAGACGAGGCAAGTCTTCGCGGGCTTCTGCAATCAAACTCAAAGAGGTGAAGGGATTCTGGAGGAGACTGTGAGCGTCTGTGTTTGCTCCTCCCCTCTTCTGGGCTTAGTCCTAGTGTGATCTACCATCGGCCCTGTTTTGAATGTTCCCTCTAAGGGCAGAGCGTCGCGATCAGTCCTAAGCATATTTAGTTGGGTCTATAATTAACTAGTATGTCAGTAGATAATGCTCCTAAATTCAATGTTTCTTATTCGCTTTCGTGACAGAGTGACATTTTTACGAATTTTCTTCCACATGTTGCGCCGAATTTTCCTCACTAACACTGTTGCATAGAATCTCCGCGCGCGGAAAGTTTTTCAACTCAAAGAATCATTCGAAGTTTATCAGCAGCCTGCACACGCGTGTTGAATTTTATCGGAGAACGCGCAAAGCCCTGTCCTATTCGGATTGCTGCGCATGCCGCCGCGCCGCTGCGCAATTTGCCGCGTGCCAGCACGGACGAGCCAAAAGTCCCGTACCCCTCGTACTCTACGTGATTGAGCATTTAATATCAAGTAGTGAATATCTAATCGAATAAGAGAAAGGTGAGGCAGAAAGAAAAGCCAAAAACTGACAGCAGTCGCGGTACCCGACATGGGCTGTGGAATTCAAAAGTGCGCTGTATCTGTGAGGCCGAGACAGAAATCCTTTCTTTTTTCAAAGGATTGTGTATTTGACAAGAAAATGCATGGAATTGATATTGAACCCACAAATTTTGCTGTTTTCAAAAGTTTTGCGTCTCCCCGTGCGGCCTCGCCTCGCTGCGTAGACTGTTGTCAGTTGTTCTCGTAGGATTGTGGCACGGTAATTTGTGACAGTGACACGCCTAGTAACTGGAAATATGAATTCACGTATTTGTAAGTAAAAACGGTTTTGTGGCATATTCAATGACAACCATGACTGTGGAAAGCTCCTTTAGGATGGGGTGAGAGAGGGTCGTATGGGAGGCTCCCAGGCGGAAAGTCGTAAAATATTTGGAATCATCGGCCCAAGAAAGTTACTATGCTTTACATATATAGGCACGACTTCATATGCCGGAGCAGAACTGCCATCACACGAGTTTACTGGACGTAAGCAAATATAGCAAGAATGATATTTCACCCAGAACTTTTCCCTCAATATTACATAATGAAAATTGAAGACACATTGATATCCATGATGTCCAAAATGAAAGTATTTCTGAAGATTGGTATACCACCGTTAAAGGAAGCCAAAACCTTGCTGAAAGTTTTCAAAATCTGAGGCGCAACGATCTTTTAAGCAGGATCGCATTCTGCCGCTGTAGGATGATCGTCTGTATTTTTTTATATGGTGAATTACGGTGTAACACATCAATGAGATCAGGCCATTCAACAGGTATGCCCTAGCTCGATTGCAATCACGAAAGTCTGACACGGCAAACTGGGACGTTGCGTAATTGGCGGACGTTTTGCCACGTTCCTGAGATCAGCGTTACAGTGCGATGTTCTTGAGAGGTTTTTTTTTGTTTCTTCGACTGCCACAACACCTTTCACATTCAAACGTGATCGCCCACATCTATTCAACCGGGGGAGCGGTCAACAGAATCGTCCAGTCCTCGCGCCGGCGCGTGCGAACACTTGCGTGGCGTCGTGCGCGGTCGCAACTTGAAGATGGGCGCAGGATTTTTGAATTTGATAGTGGGAGCAATGAACTGCGGTCCACAATAATCTATGGGGCACTAGCTCTTCCATAGAAAATAGTGAGAACAATTTGTTTTCGAGTTCGAATTATCGCAATATTGAAAAACACGGAAATGTTTGTGATGGAAATTATCCACGTGTTGATTGAAGATGAATGTCGAAGAGGCGGACCGAGTGCGGGGACGATTCTATTGACGTACACTCATTTAGTCTCGTAACGTGCCTTCATCATGTTGCTAAGAAACGGCGCCAAGGAACAAAGCCTCTCAGCTGACACGATCAGTTGGGTGGGATATTTCATATAAACAAAAACAAAAGAATTTCATCTGAGGAATCCATTAACTCACATCGACATCAGCATCGTCCAATTGCTTTGAAGTTTCCCAGTACGAGAACTCTCCCCGTACTTTACTCCAACAATGAGAGATAACTCCACGTAATCTAGGCTCCAGTTCTTGCAACTCCATTTGGCATCGAAGCAGTTCCTCCGAAACTTCATCCTAAAGATACTCACTAGCATCTCAGTCACCGAAAGCTAGCCTGAGCAATAAAAAAAAATAGAGAAAAAAAAACAGAAATATACCAAATCTGAATCATCATCCTCTTCCTTCCCATCCTGGCTGACCACCACTTCACGCGAAACCGAATTCGTTGCAATTTCACGGATAAACGTGCTCTGTCGATGAAGGAATCAGACCTAAATTCGAGAACCATTGAAAGAAATTCAGCGAATGCTCAATACGGTGGGCAGAAGCAAAAGTACAGTAGCGGACAAAAATATACCGGTTTTGCCTTTTGACTAAACTCCGGTCAGCTCAACGGATCTTGCTGATATTTCAAAATGCTGTTGAGGTAACAGTTTTTCTGTTTCGATGAGTGCAGCAATGAAGATTGGGAATTTTTAGCTGCTAACGATGCTATCACTAGAAACTCTTTTGACCTTTTGACTTATTGCACTGACATCTCACACTTCTACTGCATCCTATTCTATCGATTTTTGTCTCTACTCTCCAAAATCGCACGCTTTAACCCGATTCTTTCATTGCGTCGCCTGATACGTAGCCGCCCCAAGGCGACTTCTTTCCATGCCCCGCCTTTGGCTCCGCGCCACTTACCTTCGATTGTCCATAGAGTGTTTTGTGAGTTTGTTTCTCTTCGGAAACCGAATCTTCGTGCGTGAAACTTTGTGTGTACTCTCTAGTGATCACAACTGGCACACTCATGTGTAGAAGAATGCAAGAATTCTAAAAGGAAGGATTCTCTTTGAGAAATGGCCGAGTCAGTTGCTTGTTTAGAGTATTATTGAACCGCTACAGAGAGAGCTCCAAAGCTGTCTTGCAAAGGCCAGGAATCCTGAAGAGAAATCCAGGCCTAACGATAAGAAAAATAAAGTTCTGAACATACAGCGAATCCATTTCATGGCTCCACGATCATGTCCTGCTGAGCTTTCAGCGACCTCGGGTACCTTCATCGAGTATTTTACCTATTTAATGTTAGTTGTTATAAACTTGGTCGTTCCAATAGAATCAAATTACATGCTTTTACAGCAATGTGGAACATGCGCGAGATTGAGTCCATTAGGGCAAATTCCACTAAAACGATTTTCCCTATCTTCATTCCTACTCTCAGCCAACTGTATTTATTTCAGTCAAAAACTGTTTACATAACTTGCTAAAATATGAGGAATATTCATCTGTGGGGTGTAGCCGAAACCGTATATATTTTTGCACATATTTTTGACCGCTACTATAGCAGTTTCCTGTAACTTTGGAAATAGAACGCAAAACAAAGCATTGGCGACATAAAATGAGTCACTGATAATGAGCCACACTCTTTTAAATTTTTGACACAACGGTGGGGCACGCTTCCACACCTTGCTGGCGTCAAATAAATAATACATCTTTACTAACCTCTTTCTACGAGCATTCTTACGATGCGGCTTCCAATTTCGCGATAATGCCGCTCAATGTCCATCTCTTCAGGAACACTAGACATAGCAGACGACGAAGGTGAGCTTAAGTTGCAAGGAACGGCGGGATGCGTTCCATTCTCACGTTTTGTCTTAAAATTATAGGCTTACAAATGACAAGGCTCTAGAAATTTCTTTGTGGAAAATGGATCAATTTGGTTTCATTCAAGAACAGGAAGCCAGGAGCCATACCTCCCCATTTCGCCTCGGTCTCGTCTTCAGCTCTCCATTGCACCGCCCATTGGAAAGATTGTTTGTCGGAAATGAGTTGCTTGGACCTGGGCGATCCCAGTCATCGTCTTCCTCTCTGATTTCCTTTTTCACCCTTGGTGAGTGTACTAAACCAAATCATATGAATGATTTTGTCAAAAAAAAAAACATGAACCAATAACAATCCTACAAACTTACTTCGTGAACTAAGTGGGGATCGTGAAGCAAATCCGTTAACATGCAGAGCTCCATGGTGCTCACCAGCGCTAGAATCATGTACTGCTGATTCCCACGGCTCATTCTTGACGGAAACTAAATTACAAATGAATAAATAAGCCAACTTCAACTTATAACAACCATCAGACGAGGCACTCACATTTTCTGTCATCTTCGCAATCATCGCGTGAGTGTAATCTCGTAGAAGACCTACGATTCGGCGTTGTGAAGTCTTCTTTGCGCATTTCACGACTTGCCGCACAGACCACATCACTGATCAATGGCGCCAACTTTGAGTCGGATCCTCGAGTTGGCCGAACATTCAGAGTCCCCGAGACTTTCCGACTGTATGCTTGACTAAAGCAGACAAAACAACATTATTTCTAAACGAAACGCTACCTAAAAGGTTACACAACCTTCTCTCCTCTTTGCACTTTCTCTCTGACAAGCAAACATCTGTACTTGATCGGCGCGTAGTTCGCGAGCTCGACAATTCTAGAGAACTTATTCGAGAACGACAAGGCTGACGCTTGCGATGCTTCCACGGCTCTAAAAAGCAATGAATTATAGTGAACGATTAGAAGACCAAAGAATACGATCTTGCCTTAGTGAATGGGAGACCCAGCCCATCAGCGGGTGCCCGTCTACCAATGACATTTGGCCTTTTCTTCCTCGTCGAACTATATATGATTTTCCCTGGCCTTCGGATCTTCTCGGAACCGAACTATACAATTCATTGGGAACTACGTCCACTATAATGCACGCCGAGCTAATCTGATAACAAATGACCATTACTCCTTTGAAACTCACTCACTTTTTCTTCACTCTCTAAGCGGTCTCGAAATTGAGCTATGAAAAATTGTAGAAAACGTCACCCTTATTAGAAGCCCCACCCGCTATGGATAGGCCTCAGCTCATTTATGTGCTTTGATCACCATAAACATTGCTCATCTGCGGCCTCTTTTCTGCTAACTATGTCGCTTTTTACCCACGTTAAGATTTTCAGTAATCTGGGCCCATGGAGAACGCACCTACCACTGCGGCCTGATGTCGCCAGTGTGCTGCTATATCTCATCGAAGCTTATGAAGAATGAATGAAAACTAAATATGATCAATAAACCATACGCCAATTTTGAGGCCATCCTGCACACATATGAAATGAAAGGTTGCCACCATTGTTCAAATTCATTTTCTGAGTGCACTGTTGCACCATCCGCCGAAGCAAGCAGCCGCATGTCTACGCTAGCGTTTAACTTCACCCCGGCCGCTTAGAGCGGTAAACTCGGCTTTCCAACTGATTAGAAAGAGCTCCACTTCTCAGGATTTTTGACCTTTCTTGTTTTTTTTTCTTCACAGGCAACCCTCTTGTCACCTCTATGTTCACATCGTCACCATCACCTTATCGAGAGCTACCCTTGGTCATGCGTTGATCAACTACTCGTCGTGACAATTGTAAGTCGGCGACTTCACCAAAGCCCGAAATTCGTGAGCAGACGATACGACCTGTTTCGGACTGCTGCAGAGCGCGGGCACCTCGAGCTGCTGAATTCAGCTCACCCTACTATTACAGTAGGCCTCCGCCAACATAAGCAACTCTCGTCAACAATGTATGCACCGGTAAAATGTGAAACGATTACATAATTCTTCCACCCTACAGTCAAGAAAACACTACCCAGCAATGAGGTGAAAGACTGAACTGAGAATCTTTCATTTCTTTGTTCTACAGCTCAGGAGAGGGAGAAAACCCTAGGACCAAAAAAAGTTTTGACCTTGGAAGAGCGATTTTGCCGATGTATAGTTGCTCCAATTTCTTGGAACGTCGAACTTTTGCGCAAGGAATGACGAAGCATGACTCAACGAGAAGGGATCCTTCTCTTGTTGAAGGGCTGAACTGTTTCTGTTTCGACAAGGCTTATGGCATCCAAGAGGAATATTCATATGCAACAACCTAATATTTGATTGAAAGAGGTTACTACTTTTGCACTAGACGTCTCACTGAGACCATAGAGAATGTTCTATTCAGTAAATTTGTACCTAGTGCGAATGAAAGCTTTTTGCAAAAGATCTCATTTTGTTGCAATTCTTCAACTGGTGTTCCACAAAAGAATGTTGCTTTTTAAGTTGGAAAGCATATATTTAGACTGTAAAGACGTTAAGGACCAAACAGGAAATAAGGAATACTCAATCCAAATAAGGGGTCCACCACTTTGTGGCGCAGGCGGCTATACTAGTACGCAAGAACCATGACCGCATTACATGGAAACTCACCATTGATATAGTAAGACTTCAGATCCTCGGGACTATATTTATCCAACAGCAGGGCTTTGAAGCTTTTCAAATACTCAGCATCTACAGGAGTAAGGAAATCGGCCTGAAGAAAAGAATAAACTCGGAAAATGAAAACACATACGGCACTGCACAATAACCTTGCACCATGTCCAAAAACGCTGTGGAATGTGATGCGGAGGCCAAATGTCCACATCATCCTCAGTATCATCCTCCGGAAGACCGCACAAGCTAAATTTGAAGAACATAGCCATTTTTTCTTCTGCAAGAATTACGAATACGGCAAAAGGAATTTCTAATAGCTAGTTAACGGCACATACGTCTGCTGCAACTCTTGTGTTGTTGTCGGTGATACTGGCGCAAATTCCCGAAGCCTGTAGGAAGGCATTGGCCTAAAAATCCCAATATGAAAATCACCATTTCAAGAAAGAAGAACTATGAATAGATGGCCTGGCCATTTCGCACTCGCTTTTCGATACATATCAGGCCTCTCCTATTCATGCTACCTTCCTTACCAGGAACGGGCACAAGCAGAAAGCATTATATTCTTTCCTTTTCTTTTCTTTACACATTTGATATTAAGTTGCCTGGAAACAAGTCCAACCGTGTTCTCAAATCCTGGACGGGATACTCTCCAGTATTCAAATACGTGACCTCTCCATGAGCACGTCTTAGATAGTCAGCGGAGTGAGCGAGCATTTTCTCCAACTCATGCTGAAGGCAGAGCTGAAATATAAAAAAAATAGTGTACACCCTGAGTGACCGCATTTATATAAGAACAAATTGAAACTTTTTGGCGTAAACAGAGGAGATAAACATAAAACCTAAGCAAGAACCTCAAGTGTAAGTTGGGATAAACAAGAGATTCCTTACAAGCAAGGCACAACCTTAAAAAATCAAAAGCACTTACGAGATCATCCCTATCGAGAGTTATGTCTTCCGTGTTTTTCTCTAGCAGTTCCCGTAATTTGGGACATTGCTTTTCATAAGGAAATGGAATGAATTCCGGTGGCGGTTTGATCTCTTCACTGCTATTAGAGGACTTCCGACGAGTTGGTGACGGAGTACCTGGAAACTAAATTTTTGAGCAAGCAATAAGATAATATTCAAGCCATTTTGAGCAATGCCATACTCCATGTTGCGTTATAAGATAAGTACAGCTCATAACTTATTATTCCAAAGCTGTTCAGCTGGTATCAAAATACTGCCGTCCTAGAACTAGCGTCAAAAGCTTTATAAGCGCAGCCGCAAAAGTAAGGCTGATGTCAGAGTCCGCGATCCGTCGCAGGTTTCGCTGATTTTCGCGATTTTCGCGAAACCTGCGATGGATCACAGGAGTACACAAGGCACAACACACACAAGGCGCCCGCGAGCTGTGCTGGAACATTTTCAAATTTCCCGCACACTTCGCGGGCGCTACCGGCTCGGCCGTGCTCGCCGCGGCGCCCATAAAACGTGAAAAAAGTAGGGGGGGGGGTGATGGGGCACTTTCGATTCCTCTGATACGTCGCAGGCTTCGCGCGGATCACAAAAATTGCAAGTGCCCCATTTGAACATTTGAAACACTGAATATGAAACAAGTGGAATCATGAGCAGTCGTCATTCAGCCATCACTATCAAGCAGAAGTGGCGGCAGGATTGGAGAACACCTTGCAGTATTGATCGGGCACTTGTGATTTCCGTGACCCGTCGCGTGAATCGCGCAAATCGCGAAAATCAGCGAAACCTGCGACGGATCGCGGACTCTGACTTACGCAATGGGTCAATTTCTCATTACGCTATGACTCATGAGCTGCGCGATGTCACAGCCTAGCCTGGGGGCTTAAGCTTAGAATTAATCTCACTCTGTAAAATAAACCTTAATATGATAATGGCATCGCCTGCTTTGGGCACTTCTGGCCGCGTGGAAAATGAGCAATTTTGCCGAAGCGGTCAACTCACCTCACAAGCCGGTGATTTTGAGCGATAACCATGCGAAAAATGCATGTATCAAAGTTATTTTAGCAATGTTAGATGAGTAGAAGTCACTCGGGGTATGGTAAATGAATTCCGATCAGCAGAAAGGGTAATGAGAAAGTAAAGCCAAGTTTACTCGCCTACGCTATAAGGATTGGTTGCTCCAATGAAAACATAAATTTTGCGATCGGTATATGTTTGTATATATTCCTTCTTTCCTTTTCTTATCTAAATGCTTTTGAGAATATAAAACTAATGAGAAAGCAACCAGGCTGCTCCGTACGACCGGAAAACCTCTGATGCATTGACCATGCTGCGAACTATTATGTCTTTTTTAGTCATCTAATGGTGTGATTCATAGAGTAAATATAAACAGCTGAGAATAAGTAATGCAAGCGTGACAAAAGGGGTGTCATGGGTGAGACGCGCAACTTCGTCATGCCGTCAAGCATCAGCCACTGTGCTCAGCTTACACGAGATATGTTGGGAATCAATCAGAGGCAAACTAACCTATGCACACCCGACTACAGATACGTATACGAAAGTGACAAAAGGTATGCACAACTTGCGCCAGTTTCAAAAGCGGACAGAAGCAAAGCTACCCGAAAATGAATGTTCCCAGTTAAATGTGCATTCTGCTGGACGGTTCATTTTACCAGTCTAGTTCTCTTTCTGGGAGCCAGCGGTTTTCCTCTCCCTGGCAATCCAAAGCATTCAACACTACAACAAACATTTCCCTTTATTCTATGAGGAGAAATTACAATCCCAAGCTCCTCCTTCCCCCTTTCACTGAATGAACCCGTTTTGTTTGACGATTACCGCTCAATACCAACAGATCGACACCGCAACATTCAAATGTTTTCCAATTCTGTTAGCTGCCAGGTACACCTATCACATCTTACCATGCCTCAGGCACTTTCGAACCGACCAATGATAGGCAAACATACCGACAGGCAAACACGCCAGTAGCCTGCGCGGCAAGTAACTATATTTGTACTGAACATTTTGCAAGTGAATTAATTGTGCACAACTGCCGTATAGAGCGAATTGTCTTTTTGTTTATTCCTTTGTCGAGTTTGCATTCGCAAGCTCAACAAATTACGCACATGCATATACTTTAACAAAACCGAAAATAAATATAACCAAGGGGTATAATGACGAATTCGCAACTACGCAACCCGTGCGAGTTCAAAAGGGAATTTAGCTTAAATGCACTAAAGTTGTAAAACGAATCATAACCGACCCTGTCTCTTCCGCTTAGGGCGTGGCGATTTCACTGTCGTTTCTGCGCTTGCCGGTGAAAAAGTAGAACGCCGCTTCGGCTTCATCTGTAATTAATCAGTGAGTTGTGGTGAGACGTACTATTCTCACTTTAGTTATCTATAAATTCATGGAAAAGGCGACACATAGCGTTAGAACGAAGTCGGGGAGCGGCGTGACTGGGTGCCAGTCGGCCTCGGACGCTGCTACGCGGCACTCACAGACAGACTATCGATCGATTCGCATCGTCGCCACGGATGACGGTTGAATGCAAAAATACGAACCCTACGCTATTTGACTTCTCTTCTGGCTTCGGCTTCGACCACCACGAAGCCATCTCCATCCACTTCCTTAAACAAACGTTGCCAAGGAACGTTTCAGTGCTGTGTCCGAAATTGAAACTTTTTTTAAAGGACCCAAACGTTTCCGTTACGCCTTTAACCTGATTCGCTGCAGGACCCACGCTGCATTCACGCATTTCAAAAATTATTTTTCGAGGTGTATTCGTGCTTGATGATCTGTGTTTTCCTTTTTTTCATCACTAGTTTTCTCCCAAATTGGAATATATGAAGAAACCACGGGGCTATGTACCAAGTAGAGGAAGAGGTCACTGCGGTGCAGGGTATTCAAGGCCTTACATTTCATCACAAGTGTTTTTTTTTCTTGCAAAGAGGGTGTGATTCGCTAGGAGAGAAGGCGAATTTTTTGCGTTCTGAAGTGCGAA